ATCATATGTAACTCATTAAATATCGAAATTAGAAGAAGAATGCACTATTTTTAATTGTAGGAAATGCGTTTTTCTAAGGTACATAAACTTTTGGGATTGACTGTATAGCCAATACATCCTTAAGTAATACTTTTGTAAGCGCATATCGGAGTAAACTTCCGATCATCACGTGTTGAAAAACCGACTTTCGACGATAGTTGAGTGCGATCTCTATTTGATCGCAAGACTTTTTTCCGCGTAGATCGTTCATTCGTCCCATTGTGCGACTGCTCCCTGGACGCTCGTTCCTCCCGCACGCCCGCGATCTCCCTCTTTACGCCGTGATCACAGCGGCGAAATTGGAGCTGCGTGGGTTGCTTCGTTCTTTGTTGGACAAGCTGCGGACGACGAAACTACCACCGCTGCATAAGCTAGGCACGTGTCCTGCGATCGAAACTCCAGGGAACTCCACAAGTTTTGACGTTATCGGATTCCTGCGCTGAAACTGTTCCGTCCCGACCGCTTTAACCGCGGAAGTTGTTTCTTTTCCGTGGAAAAAGGAAGACGAACGGATATAAATCGTCTCCTCGCGTAGGGATTTGCACTCGCCGGGCTTTCAGAACTGTCTTCGCGTTACCGGTTCATGCAATTCTTTTATTCCCAAAATTAAGATCGGTTGACAGGCCTCCTGAGTGAAATCAATATTCCGGCGCAACTTCCGTGTGCAACCGCGCCGGATAAAATATCCGGGAAAATCGAGCGTAACCTTGCGCGTTTAACTTTTACGAGCCACTCTATTAAAAGAGATACGCGTGAGTTTCCTCGCCGTGCCGGAGCATCGACGTGACGTCGATGGTAACGGACGCGACCGAAGATCCAGACCGATGCCTGTTATCGGGCTATGATCGACAATTAGCTTAAGTCTAACGAAGCAATTATGCGACCGCGTGTGCGATAAAAGTTAACGGCGAGATTAGAACATCGGTTCATCTTAAAATGATACAACGATACTTCGTTGAAGCCGTGATCGATTATTTTTATGCAAAATGCAATATTTATGAAAAATATATATAAATGAATTACGATTATTAGAATTTTGGTCTTATCATTGGTTTACGTAGAAACTAACTCAATCAAAGACGAATGGAGAATCATTGTCTCAGACTGTGCAATCTATCATCAATAGTTTTAATTCAATTGTATTTTAAATGTAGCAATTTTCATTTAATAATTTTAATGAAAACGTTTTTTGCGTCTGATTCTCATGGACATGTTCAAACGTTTACACGATCATGTTTTCACGTAAGTCATGCAATTAATTACCGTAAGATACTTAATGTTCCCGAGGGGGAAAAAAGGTCAAAGGTATTGATAAAAATTGTTGAACGCTGCGTGTAGGATGAACAGTCGTACGTATCTCTAGCCTATTGCAATATTCGTTATTTACTGTTTTCTATTTAAAAATTAGTTTATTTCTGGACTTGAAATGAATGCCGGCGAGAATTTTATTTAAGCTCTCGTAGGAACGGATATTAGCGTCCAACAGGGAAAATCTCGTTGAAAAGAACGCGGGGTATAGGCGTTAAGGGCACGTGGGCATCCGTGTGATGCAGAAAATGCCAGGGAAACGGAGACTGGCAGGAACGTGAGGCAGAACAGATGATTCACTATTATTGCACGCCCACTATTAATGTCAGAGAAGAAGAGAAAAATCTATAATAGTTTCGAATGTCGATGAAAAAACAATTAACGGAAATTAAAAATGAATGCTTTTTATATCTCTTACGATTAATTCTAAAACGATCAGATAAGTAAATTAATTCGTTGTCTAATTTTTAAGCCAATGGAAGCCAATAATACTTTTTCATTTCTTTACTTACTTTTTATCTACACATAATGCTTGCCTTGGTAGAAGCCAATTTTCTCTTCCCTTTTAAACTGAAAATGTGTACCTGTATGCATATTTCTTTATACTTCGTTTTAAACATTTAATCAAA